ACTGTCAAAGAAAGGGGCTCTGTGTCAGTGGGACAAAGACTGCACTGCGTTGTTTAAGAAGTTAACCGGGCACTAATGGAGTACCCACTCTTCAAAATTGCAGACCCTTCCCCACCGTTGTCGTAACAGATGCTAGCCAGTATGCGATAGGGGCAGTAGTACATCGGAATGATGGAAAGAGATATCACCCTGCAGAGTTCTTGTCCAAACCAGTTGCCATCTGATGGAATAGCAAATTCAATGTATGAAAGATTATCTGCATTATACAAGGCATTGCAAACGTGACAACATCATCTCCTTTGTAGTCATTTTGAAGTATACTAACCTCATGAGACCCTGCGTTGGCTAAGACCAAGTCTACAATGTTGACTAAGTTAGACAGATGGGCACGGGAGATCGATGAGATAACGAGTTCAAAAAGATAAGGGGAAGTATAATATAGTGCGCTGATGCTTTGTCAAGAAAGCAGAGTTCTTTGGTGTAGTTTTGATTTAACTACATGCACGACAAGAACTGCAGAAGAAAATCAGAGAGGCGTATGCACAAGATAGCATTTGTAGTGAAGTTAAACTTGGGGAGAAACCTCACGAATTGCCCGAATATCGAGTAGCGAATGAACTGTAGTTTCTCATGAATGAACTGCAGTTTCTCACCTGGGGAAGACATGCTGTGAGTTCCTGATAGTGAGGGAATTGTAGTTTCATACTAGGTGAATGCCAGGACGCTGAAGGAAGACCAAAGCTAATCTTCTTCATTTGTACAAATGGGCAGGGATGAAATCAGGCTGCACTAGATATCAGGAGTGGTTTAAAGTTGTCGAAGGAACACAAGTACCACACAGGTGCCCTTAGGACTAGTGAGACCAGTGCCTATTAGCTCAGGACCTGGGGAAGCAGTTTCCATAAACTTCATGGACACGAAGGTCAACAGTAAGAGAGGGAACAGTCAAGTCACCTCATTATGTGAATTGATTTGTTTCCTTTTTATATCTAGGTGACTTGACTATTCCCTCTCCTACTCTTGACCTTGGTGTCCATGAACTCTATGAAATCGATTCTACAGACCCTGAGGTAATAGGCACTGGGCTGCTGTAAGGTACTTTGTTCCTTTGACGAACTTTGCACCCCTTGGGAAGTGCTAGATGTGATGGGACATGTGGATAGCCCGTTCTACGTTATTGTGTGACTCTGCACCTGTGAACAACCCTGTGTTCCATGTGTCCAAACTATTGCCTGTCAACTCAGACAAATCCTTCCCCTTGCACAGACCAATGATTTCATCTGACACGGACAGAAGCTATGACACTGATCACATAGTTGAACAAGACATTCTAAGAACGGGCAACCGTATAGGTTACGGTGGCAGTATCAGGACCCAGAAGAAGATAGGTGGTTCCCAAATGATCAGCTAAGAGAGACATCCCCAAGAATAGTCCCACACTATGAACAAGCAAGAAGGGGGATTCACATTGCTGATCGTTGAGCAAAAGTCGTAGCTCTCTCGAAGACCTTGGATTTAGGCTTGTGGCACGGCTGCGCGAGTGAAAGGATTTCATGTATCTGAGTCCTGTACCCAGTTTCAAGCCCCAGTGTCCCATGTTTCATACTCCCAACCGGTAGGTGTCATAGACCCAATCCATACATCAGTTGGAAGGGCAGTAGATAAGAAACTCTAGTGGGCCAAGTTCGTTACAAGTCTATAGGTAGTCCAGTTTGTCAGTCCAATGCAAAAGAAAGTCCTACTGAGAGAGGAAGACATTCAGAGAGAGTGAGTGAGGCCTGTGTGTGTGTGTGTGTGTGTGTGTGTGTGTGTGTGTGTGTGTGTGTGTGTGTGTG